CCTTGGCGAATGATGTGTCGCAAGGCAAAGTTAATGAGGGTTCAGGGTCACAGCATTCTTCTTAAGGGTGCGTTCTTCGGTCGCCTGATGGTTCCAGGGCGGTTTCCCAGTGCTTGAACGCATTACACATGTTCAAGCAATGGGTAGCTACCTACTACACAGGTATATGTATCAAATGCATAGTTCTGAGATAATACTGACGGATGGCTGCAACACCTGTCTGTGCAAAATGTCTGCTCATGTGTATGTATGTATGTATGTTTGTATGTATGTACTTATGTATGTAAGTAATTATGTATGTAGATTTGTATGTTTGAGTGCTTGTGTGTCTGCTTCTTCGTTTATTTGACTTGTCTGTTTGTTTGTTCGCTTGTTTCTGTGTTTGTTTGTATGCTTGTACATTTGTAAGTACGTATGTATATGTATGTACGTGCGTACGAATGTATGAACGAAACACTGTATGTATGTATGCATGCATGTATGTGGGTGAGTAGGTACAGGCAGGCAGGTAGGTGGGTAGGAAGGCATGTACATGTATGAACATATATATATATATACATATATACACGCAGACAAAGAGATATGTTTGAACAATGCTTACATGACGTAGTACATTTATTCGTGAACATATGCATGTGTATATGTAATTATACATATACATGAGCACACACACACACATATATATATATATATATGGGTACCCCCCTATATGGGGTCCCCTGGGTTTTTGCACACCCAAACCACTAAACCATTAAACCATTAAACCATTCCTTTTGCTCCATGCCACTAAACCAATAAACCATTAAACCATTAAACCAATCCTTTCCCCCAATGGACCCAAACCAATAAACCATTAAACCATTAAACCAATCATTTCCCCCAATGGACCCAAACCACTAAACCATTAAACCATTAAACCAATCAGTTTCCCCTATAGAGAGAGACACATCCCTGTATGGGCCGAAAGCATTGGTTTAATGGTTTAATGGTTTAATGGTTTAGTGGTTTAGTGGTCTAGTGGTATGGAGCAAACGGATTGGTTTAATGGTTTAATGGTTTAGTGGTTTAGTGGTATGGAGCAAACGGATCGGTTTAATGGTTTAATGGTTTAGTGGTTTAGTGGTATGGAGCAAAAGGAATGGTTTAATGGTTTAACGGTTTAATGGTTTAATGGTTTAGTGGTTTAGGGGGGAAAGGATTGGTTTAATGGTTTAATGGTTTAGTGGTTTAGTGGTTTAGTGGTATGGGGTAAAGGGATATGTTTAATGGTTTGATGGTTTAGTGGCATGGGGCAAAAGGATTGGTTTAATGGTTTAATGGTTTATTGGTTTGGGTCCTTTGGGGGAAAGGATTGGTTTAACGGTGTACTAATTTAATGGTTTGTTAATGGTTTAATGGTTTAGTGATGGGTCTAGAGCTGCCTACTACGCAGGTGTCCTGGTTATAACCGGGGACAGAGGTTATAACCAGGCGGCAAAATACGTTCAGGGTTTGAAGACTCCCGCCGTGCCCTAAAAACCAAATGGATTAGCTTATTGGTTTGATGGTTTAAGTCTTCCGTGTCGTATCGCACAAGCGAGCCGGTATAATAGTTTAAGTTTAAGTCTCCCCCAAACCCTAGCGCCAAACCCTAAGCAGTAAAACCCAAACAAACCCAACACTTGATGGTGAACCTGCAATATTGGTAAACTGTGTCGAAACACCGGGGGGTTACATACCAGGGTTGTGGTTTGTAAATTGGGGTGCCTTGATTGTTTGTTGCACACTATAAACCTTACGAAGCAAATCTGTGCCACCGCTACTTCATCAACACCTAGATCCAAACGTTCGAAAGTTTCGGTGTTTCAGGGGGAATGTAACCGCAATGAAATTAAACAAGGACTAGAAGAATAGAGGGTCCGAGGTAATTGGAATGTATTCGGTTGTTGAGGCATGATGCAGTGCTTTGTAACAGACAAAATTCCGGGGACCATATGCGCATTCCCCAACTTTAGCGGAAAGGCTATATGGCGGACTTTACATAATGGTCTGTCCGTTCCAGTACATCGGGTTTATGAGATCTATGTACACATTGAGAGAATAGCCACTAACATGTCACTGACCCAGGAATCAAAATGCGGAATATGAAGGGGCTCTATCGGGATTACAGTAGGTCAGTAAGTGTTGTCAACATTGGAAAATCACGGTACACAGAAAGTTGAGATACGACTGATATGACGTCATTGTAGGGAGAGACAGTATTTCTAAGTTTACAGCGTGGTCAGGTTTCATCACTTCGTACATAGGCGAACTGGTTGCAACGCTATGTTCAAAGACCGTTCCAAGGAAGCAGGATTTCGATGAGACAAAACTGATAAGAATATGTGTGGTGAGCGAAACAAAATTTGCAACTTGCAAACCGTTAAATTTCCTCGCTCGGTACGTAGAAAATTCCTAGCAATGCTACTTCCAACTACATGGATGAACCTCTTTCGAGGAGTGATTCGGTGTGTGTTTACCACTTTTTCTAACACGAGGATCAAGTTCTGGACTGGGAACCATGGCTTCTATTCGACCTTCAGTCAATATTCACAAGAACACAAACAGAAATTCGGACAAGCTAGATGTAGCCTTCTGGTTTTCAGTCGGTCATCACTCAGCATATAGAAACAGTGCCAAGCCTAAGAAGCGACGCTTCATGTCGTCCCCCAGGAAAAACACTGTACAACGTTTGCTAAGCTTGTAGTGTGCAAGTTTTCAATGTTGGCTTGGGGCAGCCGTCATACAGAATTAAGGAATGCACCACTCAAATATACCTACCGGATATACCAGTGTTGAAAAGCAATCACATAGGGGCACAGGGATATGTCATTGAAAGCTATCAGTTTGCCAAAACGTGATAGCAATGCGTCCAACAACAGAGACTTTGATGGGATTGTGGCATTACAGTACAAAGATGGAAAGCTTTTCGTTCCAAAATCTAGTTCGCGATAAGGAATGACTGAGCCAGACTAATGACTACAGCGCGCTTGTTGGAAAAAACTGAAATACAGCGGTTTAGATACAGTCACACAAAGATGAACTACGAAGATATATCGACGGCTTCAAGGCAAGGATTTTGGCACATTGTAACGGGGTTTCGACGAGGGTGTCATAGAATTCTTAGCGTTGTGCGGGCTTCAGCATTCTGAAAGCATGGGTTGTTGCAACTTCCCGGGTTAGTCTTCAAACCGGATATAATACTGTAGTCGATGGCGTACACCATTGCCATCGAGCTGCTCCATGCAAGCATAATACTATATTCGATAATGTATACCTGATTATAAATTAGTCGACTGGTTATAACCTAGTCGGCTGGTTATAACCTAATCGGCTGGTTATAACCTAGTCTGGTGGGTAGAGCTCAGTCAGATGATGTAGCGAAAAACGTAGGGGACCCCAAATAGGGGTGCGCCCATATATATATATATATATGTATGTATATATATATATATATACACACATATACATATGTGTACATGTTGCGAATTCACAGATGATTTGCATGTAAAGGAATGACAAGTGGCACGGGCAATCTGCAACCCAATTCGTGCTTGTAGCTTGCAAGCTCACCTTCACCCACCTCTTCGGCAAAAAACTAAACCCTAAACCCTTCTCGTACACAAGCAAGCCTGAACCGAAAACTCTGACATGGCCTACAGTCCAAACCCGAAAGTCTACCCAGACACCCCCCCCCAAACTTCCCTATATACAATATGTTGGCCAAATGCCCACTATTCAAAACCCTAAGGTCTCTGCTAAAGGGCCCTTTGGGGGGTCATTGTAGTCTAGTCCTGGACATTGAAACCACAGCGCTTAAAGCATTCCTTTTTTCTTTACAAAACTTCGACTTTTGACCCCGAACCCTGCGACAGCTTGCCAAGCATCTGTCCTGGGACCTTTGACCTGGCCATATTTGGGAATTTCCGAAGATTAGGGGCACCTTATTTGAGAGTCCTTATAACAAGGATCCTATTATTTAGGGTATTATATTCTTAGGGTCCCTTATTCCCAGATTTTTGGAAACTCGCATATTATTTACAAGCGAGGATTACGATGGTTTAGGGTCAAGGGTTTACGGTTTCAGCAGTCAATTGCAACGGCAATGTCCGATTGCTGCAATGGTGAAGTTGCAACCGCTGACGGCCAAAGCGGAGCTAATGTCACACCTATGTAGGCTCACAACCCTAAGCCCTAAACCCTACACGCTTAAACTCTAATACAAAAGGCAAATATTTCGCCCGTTATGTGTTTCTTGGGTCCGCAAATAGACGTCAGAGTCCGGCCGCATCTTCTTAACTTACCAACTAGAATAGGCTTGATTCGATGGTTCCTTAACCGGTACTATAAGGGCCAAGTGCATAATGCATATATGTTTAGATATATCACCAACCGTAGTATACGGCACCTTGACGAATGTCAGTTACTGACTATGCCGACCCCTGTATTCGGGCAGTTAAAACCAAGGGTCTTAAGGTTTCGCGCTGCAGTGGGAAATTAAAGGTTGAGGTGGTCGGTAATTTGGGTGTGGAGGGATGACTTGGAGGTTCATGGGCAGTTATAAGTGGAGCTGTAAGTCCCCTAGTATGGGTTATAAGTACAGCTACCCTTATTACCCTACATCCTTCTTCCCCACGTCCCGTCCCGAAGCAACGCATGATGCTTATCTGATCAGGCTTAGTGGATTTGGGGCAATGTTGGCAATTCACGACCTTAGCCAGGTGGAACCCCAGGGCATGTAGTACCAAACCACCAGCATACCTGGCAGGTTCGATACTGCTCTGTGATCTTTATGATCCAGTGCAAAGACTCGAAAAACGTGACATGGAAGCTCAACTCAGTCCTCGTGTTCAATCTCGAAGACTCACTTGATCCAGATGCCACTACAATCACTACAAACACCCTAAAGACCCTGAGCCCTGAACCCACTACATCTCTCCGGTATCCGGCGTCCCCTGAGAGGCTCATCGGGTGCTCCCATCTCAGTTATGGCGGACAGCCAGCCGCAAACTTTCATGCATTTCACGTGTGGCATCCTTGGCTGACTTCTCAACCCACCCGAAAAGTTGACATCGTTAGCCCCTTGTGTTTTGGGTAGTGAAGAAATCCCAGCACTTAAGCTTGCAGCTTCTCTTTTAATAGCTAATGTAGGAATCCAAAAGAGTCACCCTTTGAGCTTCTCTTTCCTACCTCATAAAGATAATCCCGACAAAGTCACAGCTTTGGCTTCTCTTTCGTAGCTTCTGACGAAATCCAACAGTTTAAGGTTCTCTAGACCCTAAACCCTAAACCCCTATAACCCTAAACCCTTAAAGGAGACGCAAAACCACAAACGAGCCCAGCATCCGCCCATTCGCTGGATCCCAAGTTGTGGAGGAGCATGGCCATGAGATTGCCTCAAGTTCACGGGATAGTTCTCTTACCCAAGGCTTTTAGGGACCTTATTATTGATAACCACCCAAACAGGGTTCCTTTAAGGGTTCACAGAGGGTCCAAGTACCCAAATAGTAGGGTTTCAAGATCCAAAATCCACTCAGAGTATGCTCAGAGTATGGATTTAGGTCCCTAAGACCCTACTCTTTGGGTACTTGGACCCTTAGGGCAAGGGTAAAAGGAGGGACCCTTAATAAGGACCCCTGGGCTTAAGGTTTTGCGGTTGTGGTTTAGGGCTTATAAGACTTATAGGGCTTAGGAATACTCCTTATGCTAAGACCAGCTATGATGCAAGGCATGTTTCTTAAGCAAGTGGCATCAGGATTCGGTGCTTGCCTATGCTCCTTGATGAATTACATTTGTAGGTTCAGCAAGCCAAACCCGAAACCCTAGCGCTAAACCCTAAACCCTAATCCCTAAACCCTAAATTCCCCTGACCCCGAAAATGTGCGACAGTGTGGTATGGGCATCGCACACAGAACTTGTTAGCTGAGCTGGAAGGGATCATTACCGGCCAACAGAGTGTAGAGTACCCCTAACCCTAAACCGCCCCTAGCCCTAGCAGAACTACTAACAGTACTGCTAATTCGAAAACTGATTCAATACTAGCGCACGACACCTAGTACGAATACTAAAACTACAAAAGTACTTGTAATAGAACAAGAGAGGAGCAAAGTGCTCGCGACTCGAATTCTGCGTGCAGGATTGAGGTTTCGGGTTACGAAGCCGAACCGCGAACGCAGCCCAAGGGGTCCCTGATGCCTCAGCAGGTCCTTAAATAACGGTGACGTACTAGTTTTCAAAACCTAATTTAGAGAACCACCGGTATATATATATATATATATATATATATACATACATACATACATACATACATACATACATACATACATACATACATACATATAGTGTGCATATTCAAATCCTGACATGGGTGCCTAATTACACAAATACTTGAGTCAAAGTATAAACGAACTCTACATGGATCTGAACCCTAAACCCTGTATGATATAAGCCCTACAACATCTGAAACCCTAAATCTGTAAGCACTACTGTCTGGCTCTTACTAGGGAATGGGGAGAAGGGATTTATGAGAACCAGACACCCTAAACCCTAAAACCTAGAACCCTTAGAGCCCCTAGAACCCCTAGAACTAACCAAAGAGAAGGTGCCAAAGGTCATCTTGTCCAGGAGGTGTTGCAGGTACTCTGCGTCGTCGGCAGCGAGCGTCGTGGGCGAACGGGAGCTCTGATTCCTAAAAGCTTTGGGTTTAGGTTTAGGGTTTAGGAGGTTCACATCATCCCAGAGGATCCATATATACTACCATTATGGAACCCGTTTTGGGACGTAATTCCATGATGGCAGCATATATGGACCCTCTTGACATGTTTCGGATTTTGGGGTTAAGGCTTTTCGGGCTGATCGAAGGTCAGGAGGTAAGGATTCTGAAACATCTTGGCCAGCTTAAGTCGATTAAGATGTGTGCCATGCAGAAGCCTTCCACCGCAAGCCGCAAACAACAACAAGCTGTCCCAGGCCTTGCACCCTACGCTTTGGGTGGGGCTAGGCTTTCTACCACAATATCGATACTTAAGACCCTTTTGGGTTTTCGGCTTAGGTTTAGCTCGTAGGACATAGAGACAGCTTAACTCCACTCTGCTGACACGCGGAAGCTTCCTTAAATCATAGAGGGAGCCTTAATGTCAGTGAATATTCTTCAATACCTGGACCCCAAAAGTATGTAGAATAATCGCCTTTTTTAGGTTTTCGGCCATTATGTTACCTAGTTTGGGGGGGTCTAGGTAGAGGTATTTTGGTAGGATGGCTCACAGCTGAAGACACCATCCAACCGCCTTGAACCCCGTCTAGCTATGCGTCTCCCCAAACAAGCCAGAACGGAAACCCTAAACCCCTAAGCCCTAAACCCTAACCCTAAACCCAAAACCCCTAAGCCCTATGAACCTTTAAACCCTATAACGGTCAACCTCACACCGAAGGACCGGCTCAGCTGGGAAGAGATGTAGACTTTGGGATTTAGGATGTAGGGCGTAGGGCTCGGACGTTAGCGTCACGGATTTCGGGTTTGGAGTGTAGGGTTTAGGGTTGAGGGCTTGAGGTTTATTGTGTAGGGTGTGATGCAAATGCCTTGGAACATACGGAGTTTGTTCAACCAGATACCCAGAAAATACCCTAAAACCTGCAACACCATTAACCTTTTCATAATCAACTCTTAATTTTCGTGCCATGCAGTAGTTGTCCGGATAGTTAGAAATAGTACTATGCCCTGATGGCTCCTATACTTTGTAGTTCTACGAAATAAACTGATTACTGAGGCCCTTAGACCAATCCCTTCAAACTTAAAACCCGATCCTATTCATAGCTCGGCCCTCAACCCAAAGAGCACTGGCCATAAAGTCCAGGATGCAATGCCTCCTGCAAGCGATCGAGAACTCCTGCCGCCTTGTCTTGGATTCCGGCTTCTTCTGCTCGCTTCCTCGGATTGAACCCTTCAGCGGGCATGTAACATGTGCTAAGTGTCAGTGAAGGGGCACTGGTACGAACACTGGTGTGGAAGATGTGACGAGCTTCGAATTCTATGACTCTTACCTACTGATCATTGCTGTGCTTGGAGTTTAGAGGCTCAGAGACAACGGCTCGCGTTTTGGGGCTCAGGGTCTACCTTAACCTACCAAAACCTGTAGGGTCCCTATAAATTGCATATTAAGGTTTATAACAAGAGCCTGCAAAAAAGTAGGACTTGGTAGTTTAAGGTAGGGAAGGTAAGGTTTGAGCTTTAGAGCGCACCATCACAGTTCAGGGCTTCGGGACTTTATCTGAGCTGGCCATTTGGGAGTTTCCGAAAACAGGGGACCCTAATAAAATAGTACCCTAGTAGGATCCTTTTTAAAGGACCCCCAAAAAAAGGTACCCCCTAATTTTCGGAAACCCTAAACCCTTCATAGAAGCCTTATAGATCCCTTTGAGGAACCCTGAAAGGATCCCTTTAAAAGTACCCCAATTTTTCGGAAACTCCAATTTGGGACTGGATCTCGAGCCCCGATCCTCCATTCCTAATGTAGAGATAGTGTATATGGTTTCTATTAAGAAACCTTGGCCAAAGTAGGGGTTCCTTTAAAGGGATCTATACGGGTTACTGCAAGGGATCTATAAGAGTACTATAATAATTTGTGGGCAACCTGATTAAGAAACCTTGGGGCTTTATTAGGGCTCCTTAAATGAATCCTACTATTTTGGGGTTCATTATTGGCCCAGGCTTTCTTAATCAGGTTCCTGCATTAAACCCGAAATCCTTGGAACCCTCAGAGGAACAGTCAAGATACTCCAGGGGTGGGATGAAAAAGGTCAGCATTCCAGTGGCGTTCAGCCGGCGGAGGAGCGCGCGCTGCCTCTTCTTTCTGAGGTTTGGGGTTCAGGGGCTTCTTCTTTACAGATTGGTGCTGTTTTAGACCGAGGTGTCAACACACTTAGATGCGATGGGAGTTTTGAGGGTGGAACCATAAATACGCCTAAAACCTAAACTCTAAACCCTACAACCCTAAAGTCCTAAATCTGCTGCCGAGCTGTGATATCTCTATAGCTTCAAATAAGCCCAAGAGCATCTTAGAGCACCCGACGAAGGAGCTGCGTGTAATGAAGCTTCCAACACAGCCTTGGGTCTAGGGATTAGGGCTTGAATACAGTCCCAAAGGGTCCTAGGTACTGTCGTGGGGGATACTTCTCCAATTCATAATAGTAATTCCTAATATAGAAACCCTACATTCTACCATATATGTTCAAATGTTCAAATGTTCAATCCAGCCTGTCCCTCAGCAGTAAGTACTAGAGGGGGTATAGGTACATTGGACCCTCTGGGAGTATTGGAGTCTGGGGGGTCTCTTGGGCTTCAGACTTCGCTGTTTCTGCGGGTCCTAAACAGAAGGCGCTTGGGTTTGGGATGGTAAGAAGGTTGGATAGGCGTTTTGGGGGGGAGTATATAGTACGATGACTGTGTATTTGGATACGCGAGGTACTTTAAGGGTGCCTCAACTCTCTACCCTAAACCCTAAGCCCTAAAACCCAAAACCCCAAAACCCTAAACCCTAAACCCGAAACCCGAAACCCTAAGCCGCGAAGGAAGAAAGCTCCCAAGCCCCCCCACACAACAAAGCCCACAGGACTGAAGCTCCTACGTTGAAACCCTTAACCTCCGCCTTGAATCTCTACTTGAAGGCTCATGGGACTTAGTAAGTAAGGTTATAAGTAGGTTATAATTGGGATAACCCCACTTAGGGGACTTATAACCCCAATTATAACCTACTTACTAAGTCCCATGATCCTCTAAGTATAACTTGTATATAACGATAACCTATATACTTTTTTGCAGATTCCTATGATAAATCCGAACAAAGCACGTATAGGGATCCTGCAACAAACTAGGTTTTGGTAGTTTAAGGCAGAGCTCGGGAGGGTGAGGATACAGCTTCTAAATCTAAGGTCATGGGGCTGAGTTGTCGGGATTTTGAGACTAAGCCCTCAACCCTACCGCAAACTACCTTTTGTTGGGTCTCTCAAGGAGCCGGCCTGTAGCCACTAAAAAGCACATGCCCATTGAGGGAGTATGCGGCGAAAACCTGAATCTGTCAATGCGGTTTGTTGAGCCCAAACCCAGATTTCCGGAATCCTAAACCCTAACCTAAACCCTGACCCCAAACCCTCAAACTTCAGCCCAGGATCCGGCGATCCGGCAAGATTTGGCGCTTCACATGCTGACAGTGACAGTAGCCACAACGGGCCCCGTTTTCGCACCTCAGCAGTTCTCCGACGGTTCTGAGTAGTAGTCGAACTTGTAGCCGCAGCCGTAGTGGTAGTAGTAGTGGTAGTGGTAGTAGCAGCAGCAGTAGCAGTAGCAGTAGCAGTAGCAGTAGAAGTAGAAGTAGAAGTAGAAGAAGTAGAAGTAGAAGTAGAAGTAGAAGTAGAAATAGAAGTAGCAGCAGCAGGAGCAGGATCAGGATCAGGAGCAGGAGCAGGAGCAGGAGCAGTAGCAGTAGCAGTAGGAGTAGCAGTAGCAGTAGCAGTAGCGCTAGCGGCAGCAGTACCAGTAGGAGCAGGAGCAGGAGTCCGCTGGTGCTGTTGGTCTTGCTGCTGCTGCAGCTGCTGCTGCTGTTGCCGTTGCTGTTGCGGTTTCTGTTGCCGTTGTTGTTGTTGTTGTTGCTGCTGCCGTTGCCTTAGTAGGCGTAGCAGCAGTTGTCGTAGTAGTAGTGGTAGTAGCAGCAGTCGTCGTCGTCCTCGTCGTAGTCGGTTGCTGCTGCTGTTGTTGTATAGCAGTAGCCAGCAGTACTACATGAAGCTGTGAGGGCAACAGCGGGAAGAGCAGTGGTGGCAAAGGCAGTCGTACCTTTCCGGCTCGTGGTCGCAGTCGTGGTGGTCGGTCGTGGTCTTCCATGGTCATGGTCGTGGTTGTCGTGGTTGTGGTTGTCGTGCTCTTGGTGGTCGCGATAGGCGTGTCGCCGTCGAAGCAGGTCGCTGGCCGCTGCTAAGTCACAGCACTGTGTTCGCAGTATTGACGATAGCTGGCATAGCATTATGCTGACCCGCTTTCGACGGCGTCTGCAACGAACCTTGTGGTGATGCTGCTTGCTGTGACTGCGATGGTTGGGAACTTGGAGGTTCAACGGTAGTTATAAGTGGGGTTATATATAAATCCCCTAATATGGGTTAAGTTACCGTACTTATAACTACCTATGAACCTCCAAGGGTTTATATACCCATGTTCAAAATAGGGGCCTTAAATGATTAGAATAGGGTTTTGGGGCCCATTATTCTATACGTATTAAATGCCGAAAGCCGAAGGCACTGACCAGCTTGGAAGAAGATGCATGGCTTTCGGCAAACCTCCGGGTGACCGTAGCTTCCAGGGTTCTCGCCTGCCATGTCCGAGTAGATTCGTGGTATCCAACCCTCCAGGCCTCCAGGACCCAAGGACCTGATATAGACGTCCCTTGAAAGGGGTCTATAGGGGATCTATAGTGCCTATAGTGGGGTTCTATGACATAGCGGGGCCTTCATAATTAGAATAGGGTTTTGGGGTATGTTACCCTCTCACCATATTAAGGAACGCCACAATAGTATTGGTAACTATATAGGCCTCTATGTTACCCTCAATCAATGCTCCTGTGGCCCTGAATGAATCGGTGCATAAAGACATGTTCAAGCGAGAGACCCGCAGCGCTCAAAGAATACTTGCGTGATGAGTTGAGCAAGCACCATCGAAGCATCACTAAACCCTAAAGCCCATGATGAATCCGCAAGCATGTCCAAGGTGTGCCATTCCTTTGTCACAAAGAAAGGCTTTGCACGTGTAGTGGTAGCCTTCGTCGCCTCGTACTAGCCGCAGTAGCGGTAGCAGTGGCAGTTGCGATGCAACTGCAGTCGCAATCGCGGTCGCAGTAGCAGCAGTAGTAGCAGTAGCAGCAGCAACAGTAGTAGTCATCGCCCTAAACCCTGAACCCCATCGCCCTCGCAGTAGTGGTAGAAACTCAAGGGCTCAGTTTGGGCGAAGATGTGTCACAACCTGCAAGAATCACCTTAATGGAGCATAGCACATTCAGCGCTGCCTGGAGCTTCATGTCTTAGTGAGCTTCGTAAATCATGTAGTGCTCTTGAGAAATAGAGTAGGGTCTCGGGTTCCTTCGTAGTTTAACCAGAACAAGGACCCTCCAAAATAATCTCGAGGGAATCTGGTGGCAACATCGTAACAGCGAGTCTGGCATGAAAACAAAGTGGATATACGGTAAAGGTGTACTTGGAGGTTTAAGGGTAGTTACAAGTAGGGTTACAAGTAGGGTTATAATACATATCAACCATATTAGGGGACTCATAACCCTACTTATAAGCATCCATAAACCCCAAATAGGTACAAGCCACAAGCATCTGACCCACAACGAAGAAGTTCTTCAAACAATGAGGCCAAACACCTTCAACCCTCACTGCTCATGGCAAACTTATAATCCAAACCAGAAGCTTTCGCATAACGCCTAAACCCTAAACCCTGCACCCTAGACCCTACAACCCAAAAATCCTAAACACCTAAACTCTAAACTTCCTAAACCCTACAACCCAAAAACCCTAAACACCTAAAAACTCTAAACTTCCTAAACCCTACAACCCAAAAACCCTAAACACCTAAAAACTCTAAACTTCCTAAACCCTACACCCCAAAAACCCTAAACACCCTAAAAACTCTAAACTTCCTAAACCCTACAACCCAAAAGCCCTAAAAACCTAAAAACTCTAAACTTCCTAAACCCTACACCCCAAAAACCCTAAACACCCTAAAAACTCTAAACTTCCTAAACCCTACAACCCAAAAACCCTAACAACCTAAAAACTCTAAACTTCCTAAACCCTACAACCCGAAAACCCTAAACACCTCAAAACTCTAAACTTCCTAAACCCTACAACCCAAAAACCCTAAACACCTAAAAACTCTAAACTTCCTAAACCCCTAAACCCTAGCGGCCCTGATAGCCTGCCACTGCTGCTGCCGGCTCCTCCCTGTTTGCGAGAATCTCTGCAATCTCAGCGCTCGGCGAAGTTCCATCCTGCCAGTCTACCCTAAGGCCCCAAAGTAGTTCCTTTTTGGGGTTCATTTATAGAATCCTATTAGGTAGTCTTAAAAAGGAACTACTTTGGGGAGTCTAGACTTTTATTTTAGGGTTTAGGGTTTAGGGTTTAGGGTGACTGTAGGTAATCCCGAAACCCTCTACTGGTAGCCTAAACTCTATCACTCTACCCTAAGGCCCCAAAGTGGTTCCTTTTGGGGGTTCATATATGGAATCCTAAAAAGTAATCCCAACAAGGAACTACTTTGGGGGTATGGGTAAGCTCAGAACTTGCAGGAAACAGCTACCCCCCCCCTCCTCCCGAAGACCTCTGAAATTACATTTATATGCATTATATGTATAATTGTTAGATGTATGAGAGCTTATGTTTATGCTGTATTGCAGAACAGAATAGTTTAGAATAGAACAAATAATACAGTAGAATATAAATTAATAGAGTGCTCTGTATTTCGATTACTACTACCACTGTTTGTACTATTGTTAGTAGCACGTATGCTTATTATTGCTAACATTGGTATCATTCTAAGCAGTATTATTGTTACGGTCATTAGGATGACTGGAACTATTGCGATTGATTTTTCAAAATTACTACTACTAAATAGTATTATTGATATTACTTTTGTTATTACATTTACTATGATTACTGTTGTTGTTGCTGCTGCTGCTACTATTTGGTTTCTACGTGTGTGGGTGTGTACATGAATCTCCCCTTGCTTCCGCTCCACTGCCATGCCCTGAATCGTTAGATCTGGCTAGTTTTGTTTATAGGATGTCAGAAGAGGAGCACAGACCTTACTACTGGGATATCCTTATTCTTTCACCGATATCAACCAAAGGCTTCCACAAGCACTTACCGCATGAAGGGGTCAGGAATGAAGCAATCAATGCGGAAGAAAAAGGCCTGTTCTTATTCGTGGCAAGGCCTAATGATTAGAATAGGGTTTTGGGGTATATTATACTAAAGTTAGAATACCCAAAACAGTATAGGTAATTATTTAGGCCGCTGGAGCAAACCCTAAACTCCCCACATCTGAGAGATTGCAGGGAACTACAGAACCCCTTAGATTGATCCCCAAAAGTAGGAGTGTAACGGTTGATGATATAAATCCTGCATTACCCATAATAAGGAATATACCACAATTCCATATATTACCTATTGTGGGTAATGCAGGATTCACATCAACCGAAGCAAAGATGCTAAACACAACAAGAAAAGATGTCTGGACCTTATGACATCCCCATGTCCTGGCCGGACCCTGATGGTGAAGAAGCGCCACTTGCAATCACCATTGTATGGGTAGACTCCTCTGGCGGCTGCAGATGCGTCAGGTCGAGCATTAGTGTAGACTTGCTTCTGAAACCATTTTCTGTACGTTGCGCTTCCTGAAACCCAGCCCTAAACCCTGACTCAAATTCTTGCACCTAAATGCGATATTCCCGAAAACAATGTCCGCCCAAAGTGCGACTACTACGAAAATGGTGCAACCATAATGAGAAACCCTAGGCCAGAAGTCCTCTTGATTGGAGTTCAGGGTTTAGGGCTCGGCGTTCTGTTTCTTGATCTGGCACTAAGTCACTAATTTTCGAGTCTAGATACAACTCGTCGCCCTAGGGTTTGTTTTAAAGGGCTGCAGTAGGGTTTAGGGTTTGGGGTTTAGCGATGACACCAGAAATCAGAAATGTGAGGACAACGCTGGAAGCAGTAGGGCTGATAAAGCTGTTTTGGAGGCTCTGAAACACGAAACGATGCCTGCTCAAACTATGGGTTATCTACTTGTCGGGTATCATGGGGAACTAAAGGCTAACCTTGTTGGTTATATAGGGATTACATACATAGGCTACTAGAAAAAGGTTAAAGGTTGCCTACTCTACTACTAGGATTAAGGTTTAGGGCTGAGGGTTTACCTATAGTCTCCATTGTAATTCCTGTTTTTGGTTTAACCAATTTTATGTTAAGGATCCTAAAAGGTAACACCAAAAAGGAACTACAATGGAGACTAAAAGTAGGGCCTAATGTTGAGGGTTAGGAGTTACCGTCAACATCCGGTATTTTAAGCCTAGCGTTCAGGTCTTTGGGTTAGGGTTTATGGTTTAGGGTTTAGGGTTAGGGGCTTAGCTTGTAGGGTTTAGGGCCTATAAACCCATGAAACCCGAAACTTGCAAACCCCCACACCCTGGCCCCTATGATCACACAAGAAGCCCACTTGCCCATGCAGCTGGATACTGTCCCCCAATACCCTGAACCGTAAGACCCAAGACCCTAAACCTGAAGGGCACTAAAGCCCCAAACCCGTAAAGCCACTCTTCAATGAACCCTTACCCTAAGGGTCCAAGTACCCAAATAGTAGGGTTTCAAGGTCCAAAAACCATTCAGAGTATGGATTTTGGTCCCTAGGACCCTACTATTTGGGTACTTGGACCCTCTGGGTTATGTACTATCCTTTGGGGGGACCCCTGCGACTTCAAAGATTCCCAAAACCCCAACCCCCTGCAGGGATCCCACGGGTTACTTCAGGGTATGTACTTGGAAGGGCAGGGGACTTAGTAAGTAGGTTATAAGTAGAGTTATAAGTGCCCTAAATAGAGTTACCCCAATTCTAACCCTAACCTACTTACTAAGTCCCCTGCCCTTCCAAGTAACCCCTTACGGGTTCGTTCAAAGGGGCTCTTGCAGGGCTCCGGTAAGGCTTGAATTTAAGTATCCATTGAAGCTAATTCACGGGTATATGCCAAAAGCTCTAATATAGGGGCCGAAGTAATTCGAATAACAATAAGGTTTGGGGCCCATCATACGATAAGTATAAACCCTAAACCCTAGGCCCTTGAGGAACCCCCAAGATAGTGTAGGTATTTATTCAGCCCCCGGCGCTGAAGAACCCTCTTATAGATCTCTTATAAAGCCCTTTAAGGAACCCTGTAAAGGGAACCCTATTCGAATTATTTAAGGCTCCAAACCCTAAACCCCTGAACCGAAATCCCCTATAGATCCCTTATAGAACCCTTAAAGCAGCCCTTAAAGGATCCCTCCTTATGGTACCCCTTAAAGGAACCCCCAAAACCACCGTCCTGGCAGGACCCTGGCGGCGAAAACGCGCCGCTTTCCAGGACCGAAGCGCTCGAGAGCTCCTAGTGACAGAAAGCCACGGTTGAGGGGCTTTGGGTGTAGGGTCGAAATAAATAGAACAGGGTTTTGGGGCCCATTATACCATGCATAGAAAAAGGAATCCACAAAAGAAAAACGGTTTTGTTTGTCTTTTGTGCAAGGTTTGTTCCCTTAGACTAGGGGTCTGGGGTTTATGGTGTAGGGTTTAGGGGTTTGGCGGGCTTCAGGGGTTAAGTAGGGTTTTAGGGTTTCAGTGTGTAAGGTTTTGTGTAGGGAAAGGGGCATGGGTTATAGGGACCACTATAGGGGACCCTTGAGGGACTGGTAATCCTAAACCCTCAACCCCACTCCCGAATAACTGAGTCCTTACACAGGCCAAAAGCCAAGGACTACGCATTTAGCCTAGAGGCTTCGAACAACACAAAAAACTCTAAAGTAACACCCATATGGGCAGTTGTCAAAATTAGGGTCCCGTTTTGGGTCCTCATCATAATACGGCACCGAATGTTTAGGGTACCCAAAAAGGGACCATAGTTTTGACAACCACCCATATCAACCGTCGACAAGCACCGTATATGCCCTTAGATCCCAGGGTTCCATCTCGGCTCCAACCCTGGCAGAAGCCCTAAAGCATCCAAGGGGAAAAGGAGGGACCCTTAATAAGGACCCCTAGGTATATACCCTTAATATAGCTACTATATACCCATTATATAGCCCATTATAGGGTAGGGGTCCCCAATAAGGGTCCCTCCTTTTCCCCTTTGAAACCATAAACTCCGAAAGCCCCGAACCCCTAAACACAAAAGCCCCTAACCGCTAGAACCCAAACCTAAACCCCTAAACCCGACCCCGCCTAAAACCCTAAACCACCAAAACCTTATGTGGACCCTGAACAACCTGCCCTTTTTGAGAACTCGTATATTTACGGAGTTTAGGGATTAAGGTTTAAGGTGGTAGTAAGGAGCTCTACAAAGGTGGGCCAGGTAGGCTTTGTAGGTTTCTAGTTCATAGTTGGGATAGGGTTAAGAATGTACATTTTTGTTCCTTATTTGGTTTAAAATACCCATAAAAATGTAAAATGTTACCCAACAATGACATAGGTTTCAGGTAGACCCTAAACCCAATAAGGTAATCCCAAGAAGGAACTATCGAGCTTCTGAGCCCTAAACCCTAAATCCTAAACCCAAACCCTAGACCCTAAACCCTAAACCCTAGACCCTAAACCCTAAACCCAAACCCTAAACCCTAAACTCCAAACCCCAAACCCTAAACCCAAACCCAACAATCTAAACTTCGTCCTCTTCAGATTGTTCTCTCGACCAGCCACCACTCGGGACCGTGCTTACCTGGCGCCACATGGGTATTTGTCAAAATTAATGTCCCTTTTGGGGTACCCTGAATATTAGGTGCCGTACTATAATAAGGACCCCCAAAGGCACCATAATATTGACAACTACTCACATGAGAACCGGGTTTTGTTGACCCAGAGGGTCCAGGTACCCCCTATTATGGGAGTTTAGGGCCTTTTTAGGTACCAAAAACCATAGATACGGTTGATGATGTAAATCCTGCATTACCCATAATAAGGAATATGTATATATATATATATATATATATATATATACACCATAAGTCCATAAATCTCATAGGGAAGGGTCCTGAAGGTAGTGCAGGATTTATATCATCAACCGTAGGAGCTCGCCACCACCGCTCCGCACCTCATCTGGTCCGTCTTGGACTGCGGGATCCGAAGGGCTGCCGTGGGCCTGCCTTCGATGTCCACGAAGATCACGTCGCCCACGCGGAGGGCCCCAAGCTCGTCCGCCCGGAGGAGGTACCAAACCCCAACGAGCAACAGCCTCTCCCACGGGGCCAGAGGGGTGGCGAGCCCAAGATGTGGTGGTAAGAGATCTCGTCGTCTGATGCTGGCGGCACTTCGAAAGCCTTCCTCTTCTTGATCAAGAAGGCTGACTCTTCTTTGTATATGTACTTGGTGCCTTTGATTGCCTCCTCCCACCGGGAGGGATCCAGTCCCGAGGAAGCAAGAGTCAACCGGTGCATGAGGCCAAACATCCTTCGGAGTTGGGAAGGACTCCAAGCTTCAATGTCTAGGCCAGCGCTTAGCATCTGCTTCTTCCTGCAGAAAGTCGCAAACTGTTTTAGCTAGGCTAACCTTCTGCATCAAAGACCTCCCTGGCGCCACTTCCCTGGTGCTTTTGCTCATAGGCCTGGCATTACTGTCCAAAAACCTGAAAGCCGTCTGCAAGGGATATGTCGTTATGAGAAAGAATCTTGAAAGTAGCTCTTTGCCTGATTCCCGCTTGAGCCCTACTTGGACCCCTAGGGTGAGGCTTTTGTGTAACGCATTCAGGTTCAGGGCCAGGGTATGTCGAAGCTTTTGGCTTGTGGATTTCGGTTTGGGGTAGTTAAGAGTTGAAGGGCAATGGTACGAGGTTAGGGCAGAGGCTGTGATGTTGAGCAAGCGAATATCGGGGCCTGGATCGGAGCACCGAAACTGGGACATGACACAAAGTGTCGTTGTTACGGTTCACCTGCATCTCCTATCTAGAGTCCTAGAGACTCCGTATATACTAGTATTGTGGAATGAACCCCGCAAAACCCTAATAACACTGGCCTGCTGGGACACAAATCCGTCTTAAATATATGGACCCTATGGGCTATGGTCCTGCAAACATCCACAGCTCCTACGACCAGCAAACTGCAAACGCCGACAGCCTCCCAAACCCTAACAAAAATCCTAAACCCAAAACCCCAAACCCTCAACCTCAGAACCCTTGCGATGTATGTCAGGGCTCCTGAGACGGATAGACACCTATCCTTGTAAGTCCTAACTCGGCAGAGGCATATAGGAGTTTCCGAAAATTGGGAGTTCCTTGTTTTGGGATCCTTTTACCTACTATTTTAGGAAACTAGGTTAGGGTCCCCCATTGTCGGAAACTCCCATATGGCCCAAAAGAATTACGGTTTAGGGTTCCGGCAGTCAGAGCTTTACATAATTTTGGAGCCTGAATGATTTGAAAAGGCTTTCGGGGTATACTCTATTATAACTATAATAAGGAACCCGCCCCAAACCCTCTTCTTATTGTTAAGCCCCCTACATCCTAGAACCCTACTATAGATCCCCTATAGACCCACTTTAAAGGACCCCTTTAAAGGAACCCTATTCTTCTTATTGAGGCCCCTGCATTAAATGCTAAACTCCAAGCAGCAAGGCTTGCAGATTGGAGATTCGAAAGGCTGGGATGGGGAGCTGCCTTAAAAAAAACAAAACCCTTATCAAGGCTTCCAGGGACCTTATTATTGGGTCCTTAAGGGGTCTGGGGCCCTAACTATAAGGTCCTTGGAGGCATAGGGCTTATCATGGTTCAGGTTCAGGGGTTAGGGTTTAGGGCTTTTTAAGTGTATGGTGTATCGGACTTTTGATTCCTGGCCAGTCCGCCTGTCGAGGAGTCAAATGTCCGATACACTTTAAGGTTTAGGGTTTAGGGTGCAGGGTAGACCCTCATCATCAGGTTCAGTGTAAAAGAAGAGTTCAGGGTGTGTAGCCCTAAGGGTCCATGTACCAAAATCGTATATGCATTGGGCCCAGTGTACCTAAAAGGGAATACCTTCAGGCCAAAGTAGATACTTTTTGGGCACATGGACTCTCAGGATAGGCTTCGTGTTTAGGACACCCTCGCTTGACGCCTCATCTTGGGATGTCTCCAGAGTCGAGGCGCAAGAATGCTTCGGCAGAAGTTCCTCTGGGGCTTGGGTTTGGGGCCGTTTTCAGATACCCTAAACTCTAAGAAGCCCCTAAACCTTGCACCCTAAGCTCTGATCCCTAAGCCCCCAAAGCCCTAAACCCTGAACCCTAAGCCTGTTGGGCCTTCACCGGAGGATTCGGCCTCCAGCGTCTCTGATCTCTAAGCCCCAAAGCCCTAAACTCTGAACCCTAAACCTTTTGGGCCTCTAGGGGCGTGGAAGGGTTTATGGTTTTTAGGGTTTACGGCTTTAGGGGTTCCAGGTTTGGCTGTGGTGCCCTTCAGAAGCCCGGCAAAGGATGCAGCTGGTCTTGTTGGGACACTAACCTACCGTTTTCCGTATTTCTGCAAACCCGTACTTCGCTGTTGCTTACCAGATTTCGTATATGGGGGCTCTGCAATATAGGGGAACAAGTAGTGAATTTTCGGTATATTACACGATACTACTTATATGGGTATACTATGACTAGCCATTCGAGTTAAGGGTTTGGCTTTGGGTTTAAGACTTTGAGCGTTCAGGCGTTGATGCGCTTAGCGGCATAGGTTTTTTGGATTTTGGTTTGAGGGGTCCGTGCAATTCTGACTAGGTAATTGCCCGCGCCCACAACCAGCAGCATCAATCTTAAGTGGGCGCTGCTAGTTTGCAAGTGTCATTGTCATTCTCATTCTTCAAAGTTGAATTTAGTTCAAGCTGCCATAGAAATCGCGACATGAAGAAGGCACACTTTCCAAGCGTCAACGACGCGCTTAAACATGTGTATTAAATACCCTGACCCGCACGCCCTAAAGTTTAAACCGGAAGTCATACGTTTTAACTTATAAGGTTTTGGGTTCCTGAAAAATTAGGAACCCGCTACAGCCTTAAAGCCCACTGACTTTTTGCGTTTTGTAAGAAGAACTTCAATTCTAGAGGCCTAGAGGAACAAGGATGTGCTCTGGGAAAATGGTGTTTTTTAGACCCTTAAATATATTACCATTCTTGCTTAATGTAGGAACCTGATTCAGAAATTTTGGGCCTTTATTCGGCTTCCTTATATGAATCCTACTATTTTGGGGTTATAATATAGGCCCAGGGTTTCCTAATCCATAGGGTGTAAGTAGGGGTTAGGATTTCTTGAGTTCGCGGTTTAGGCATGATTCGCTGCACGACATACCCCAGGTTTCCTGCGCCCGGATAGACAGCTCCGCCAAGTCCTTGTTCACCTGCGGAAGATGGATGATTGATGGGATTTCAATTCGAAAGGCGCTAACATAGGCACTGCAATGATTCACTGATTCACATCTGGCGGTGGGTGGGGTCTATTGCAATAACACAATTATGTCAAGGAGCCCCAAGGAATAGTGTATGTACCGTATGTGTACGTGTATAAACATGTGTGTATATATATACACACATGTAATACATTTTATAATACACACACATACATACATATATATATATATATATATATACACACATATACAAAGAACTATACGGACATTTACAAATCTGTTATAATGCCTATATATATATACACATACACACATACATACATACCTACATACATACATACATAGATGTGTTAAGAAACCCTAGCGTCTGAGTAACTCTTCCAGCACCCATGTTCTCGTGAGCTGACCAGAATATGGGGGAGACTAGCCCAAGTCATGATAGAACTTCCTACTCTGGAAACCCTACTTTAAACTATATAGGTACTTAGGACCCGTTCAAAACCGTGACTTACGACACTTTGGGAACTGGGCCCTGAACTCCAAGGCCTTCAGGACGCAAGAGCCAATGATTGGATTGCAAAACACGCTTCAAGGCTTGGGGTTTGGGGATTAAGGGTTTACGCGTTTAGGGTTCATGAGTGTCTAGGGTTAGGGGTTTAGGACCCTAAGCTGGTACTAATGAGAATACCGATCTCCGTGAATATTACAAGTACTGTGCTAAAATAACATACTATATAATACACCCAGTAGCCTAGTCTACTTCCTGAGGCCCCTACGTACAACTCACACACATTCCGCGCCTGGACCGTCTCAGCGTCCACAGGCGTCTCGCCAGCTGGCGGGGCACTTCGCGCGCGGCGGACCGCGGCGGCAGGAGATTCCTTCCCAAATGAGGCTTAGCTGACAATTTGGGAGTTTCCGAAAATAGGGAACCCTAACATATAGTACCTTAAATAGTAGGATCCTTATTATATAAGGACCCCCAAAAGAGGGTACCCCCTCATTTTCGGAAACTCAAAACCCTTTATAGAAGCCTTTTAGATCCCTTTGAGGAACCCTTAAAGGATCCCTTGAAAGGTACCCCCTCATTTCGGAAACTCCCATTTGACTTGCAGCCCTTAGCTCCGAACCTAACCTCCGGATTTTTTGCAGTGTCCTAAACCTTAGGTACGGCCCCCATACAGTAAGAGTCTATAATAGAGCTACTATTAAGGTCCTACTATATCATTATTTGTGAATGTTATTCAACTATTACTGAGTGGGGGCCGTACCTAACCTAAAACCTAATTAAGTAGCTGGGCTGTTCTTGGCGCGGGCTCCTCTGGGTAGTTTCTGGGGGCGGGAAAATTGCTAGTAAGATAACCTTAGTCTTCGATTTACAAACCTCCCAAAAAAACTTTAAACAAAACCTTAATTACATCTTGCATCTTGCATCTCACTTTAGCCCGCTTCCCCGCGCAAGCATGCTGGGCAAGGGGGCAAGGGTGGGTTGCGCGATACCTCTGACAATTACGAATTAGGGTCAGGGCGAGCCTGAGCTCTACCCTAAGGCCCCAAAGTAGTTCCTTTTTGGGGTTCATATATAGAATCCTAATAGGTATTCTTAAAAAGGAACTACTTTGGGGCCTATGGGTAGACCCTCAGACGAGTTTTCAGGATTAGAGCATCGTCTACTCTGATCTTTCGGACCTTTGGAACTGTGGGGCCTTAGGGACCCGGGATTTGAGGCCTTAATAATTAGAATAGGGTTCCTTTTACAAGGATTTCCTAAAGGGGTCTATAAGGGAGCTATAGAGTGGGGTTCTATGATATAGGCTACGGATTCCCCGTTGTTGTTAATTTAGGGTGTAGGGCTAAGGGCTTACATTTAGGGTTTTAGGGTTTGGGTTTAGGGACTCACAGTAGATCATGTTGATCTAGACCCATAGCCCTAGACCCGAATCCCCATGCGCCTCGTCGATGAAGGTGCGACGGTAGCACCTTGGCACGTGGATGCTACCGGGGGCTACAGGGTCGAGGATAAAGCGCGAACGGATTAGTGTTTAAGGAGCCCTGCATGTAAGGTATTCTGGTATTTCCCCATCACCCGTAAATTTACGACGGCCTCAGGATTCGTCTTGTAGATGTATCATATTCGTCTCGCTTAATTGTAATAAACGTATGAATCCGTATGTATGCCACTTTCGGGTGTTTTGCATGAACAACTCCTTGCTTTATCAAGGTCATGAGTCTTAGCAACTATAGTGTGATACATACGGTAACTATACCAAGTTAACAGTTGTAATCACAATGACTCCAAGGGTTCACGTACCGTTATGCTCCTATTTCGGTACTCCTCGGACAATGACAATGTATATACTATCTAGGGACATGGGCCCTTGCGTGTAAGGTACTCATGACCCAACCCTAAACTAAACACCCTCAGCTCCATGATTTTCCCAGTAGCCTCGACAAGCAATTGGTCCTAACCCTAAGGGTCCATGTACCCAAATAGTATATACTTCGGGCCCAATGTACCCATATAGGGAGTACATTAAGGCCAATGTATATACTATTTAGGTACATGGATCCTTAGGGTAATATATAATGGGTAGGGGGCTTAGGGTTTACGCCTTGGGGTTTAGGAGATTTGAGGCTGATGTTGGTTAATATGAGGGACCCAAAAAAGCACAAAAAGGGTAGGGATATCCCATAGAAACCCCATATCATGAAGCCCAATAAGGTAGGGATATCCCTATAAAATGCTTATGCTTATGTGCTTTTTCGGTCCCTAAAATATGGGGTGTAGGGGTCTCATAGAACAGGTTCAGGGTTTACGCGGTTTAGGCTTTAGGGTGCAGCCACAAACATCGACATAATGTCACTACCCTCTCCACTTCAATTTTAGGGTTTCGGGTTTTATATTGGCAGGTCCTATAAACAGACCCATACACATAGAAGCGTGCAAAGTTTATAGTTCTAGTTTCATGCAGCCCGAAACACTCAAACAACCTTCGACAACTTTACATTATGCGGGTCCCCTGATGAGAACCCCGTGTGTAGCTTCTGAATTCTGCAACCGACTTTGAGAATTTGCAGCTATTAAGAATCTAGGGTCTGGGGATTAGCGTTTTTTGGGCTTGGGGGCTTATAGAGTTAAGGGTTCGGCTTTGTCTTCTGGGTCCCAGTAGTTTTGTTTTCACGTAAGACACGATAAACTGCATAGCCCCCAAGGCCGGAGCCTTCAAAAGGTGGGTTCGAAAAAGCCTGGGTTCGTGCACACCAAAACTCGCTAAAATGACGTTGCGGCACCGTTTCTTCAGAGACTCCCTGAAATTAGGAGGCTTTCATAATTAAAGGCATATTCCTTAATTGCGGGTGGTTTTGGAGTATCTGCTTCATAACCAGTCCTCTTCTGTGTCATTTTTGCAAACCCAGGCGCAGGGCCATGGTATCTAGGACACCAGATCACCGACAGGCTGTTCGAAAGGCCACACAAACTTTTGAACCAAGACGGCACCGCGGTGACGTGTGAAGTGTTGAGGATTTGCTGTGTGCGACCTGAGATTGTGCGGGCTTTGGGCGCCGAAGCAGCGAAGTGAGGTTGGAGAGCTAAAACACACATGCTGAGGTCCCTAATCTCAAAGAAGCGGTCGAAACCCTAAACCCTGAACCCTCTTTATTCGGACTTGGGGTCCCGTGTTTCTGAAAAACCTCACATAACGACAGGTTTGCCTTGCTTTTCTAACTAACCTGCTCTCAGCAACTTTTTAAATCGTCTTCGCAAAAACTCGTCTTGATTGACTTTACCTCCTTACTGGAGCTGTCACTTTGCAGATGCATCCAGTGTGGTGCATGCGTGTAGCATTGCACCACGGTCGACCATGAAGCAGATACGGCAAACCCTCGAATAGACGCTTGGGTGCTGCATTGCTGCCGCTATTCTCACTATGCGCTCTTACAGATCTGTTGCTATGCTTGTCTACCACTGAATAAAGGGCCTCGAGACTTCGTGGAAAAAACAGCTAAACCCTAAAAACCCTAAACCCTAAACCCTAATATAGCTGCCTGCAGTCACCAGCATGGTCAGGGACTGCTATGCGAGAGTGGCTACAGCTGCACCAAAAACTGCGACTACTACTACTGCTATCTTCTCCATCGGCTTCATCCTGCTATGCTATATGGACTTGAAAGCGGCGCTGGATTTCCTAAGCCGAAACCCTAAAAGAAAACAACAAAACCCAAAAACAAATAAGCCAACACTATGCCTGACACTCCAAAACCACGCACGACCAGCTACTCAAACTCAAGGGTCTTCATAAGTACTAGTGAAGTAAGAACTGATGTAGCCATCTGCTGCGTAAAACGCTCTGTCTCTTTCTCTCTCTCGCTCTTTTACAACCTAATGGTTTTGGATACAACATCCCGACTATTTTCATGCTATGTATATATATATATATATGTATATATATATATATATATATATATATACAATATAATATATTCCATGTACGCTGCATTGAGTTTTATGGATCAGGGCCCTGCTCATTGACGTTATAGTGTACGTATGGCCGCTATACGCCGTACGCGCGTGTAGCATCTATTCTCCTGATACCCCCACATGTATAAAGCATGTAGAACAGCACTTGCTAATTAGATACATCATACTGGTTTTTGTATGTAACAGATGCAATGGATGAGGAGTATAAGTGAGCCCTGAACTAAGAATCCTCCAGCAATCATGCTGCCCCGGTCTTCAGCCGCAAGAACCATTCCGGAGCCTCCTACTTGAAGGCTCATGGGACTTAGTAAGTAAGGTTATAAGTAGGTTACAGTTAGGATAACCCCACTTAGGGGACTTATAACCCCAGTTATAACCTACTTACTAAGTCCCATGATCCTCTAAGTACCCCAGGGCGTCTCGCACGCTCATGACACAATGCTGTTGTGTTGTACTGTGTCCTGAACGGAAGAGCCCCAACGTGTTGCCACACTGATTCCGTAGTCTTCCCAAAACACATGTACAAGTCACTATGTGGTTTATAACTTCCTTCTTCGAGTCGACCCGGTGTACGCGTAACATAGGGACCTTAATCATTAGACTCATTATACTATAATCATCATAAGGAACCCCCCAAAAAAATCAGTAGGTACTTCTGAATGCACCTGCCGTAGGTGGTGAAACGCATATATTGAAGGGCTCCACACTCGGGATTGAGGAAGCTGGCAGATTCCCGAAAAAGGGCCTCTGCATGAAGCGTCTTCACCTGGACCCTACAAAAACCTAAGCTTTTGAGGACTTACACAAAAAGCTCATAATTACATGAACCACAAAAAATATGTAGAATAAGAGCCTTTTATAGGTTTTCGGTCATTATTTTACCTACTTTTGAAGGTCTAGGTAACAGTTAGCAACCCTAAAAAGCTAGAGTCTTTAGGGTCCAGGTAATTCCACCTCCTCATCCCACCTTCCGAAGCTCCAAAGATGATGGGAGGCCACAAGGGGGGTTCAAGATTCTTGGGGATTCCTGGATTCCTTAATACGAACCCTAATATGGGAACCCTAATCCCTACTAAACCCCCATAGGCCATAGGCTAAAATCCCTTTTGGCCTCCTATGAAAAGAGTGTCATACAAAGATGGCAGCATCCCGCAACTGGCCGGGCCAAGTGAAGATTAGACCCCTCTTTTCCAGCCCTAAAGGGTTTGAGGTTTATAGGGTACCCAGCGAACCCACTTAGAGGATCATGGGACTTAGTAAGTAGGTTATAATTGGGGTTATAAGTCCCCCAAGTGGGGTTGTCCTAATTATAACCTACTTATAACCTTACTTACTAAGTCCCATGAGCCTTCAAGCAATAAATGCCCCTTTAAGTCCGGGATATACCTTGTAAGGGGCTTCATAATTATGATTCGAGCTCTACTTCTTAATTAAAGGGCATTGGGCTCTCCGGGTTGGATTATCGGATATGTGGACTGACCCTTCCCTGCGTTTGTCCCTCAACCCTATAATGTAGGGGCCGAATGTCGTCATGCATGAATATGTCATAAACCGGTACCCTAAGCCCTAAACCCTAAACCCCCAACCCTTTACCCAATACCGTAAACTAAAAAACACCAAGCCTTGTAAATCATGTAGGAGCGAGGGATCTAGAGTCTAGAGAGCAGAAGATACTGGATGTAGCAGCAAGTGAGTAAGATTTGCGTGAATCACCGAGGTGCTTTCAGAAGCATCTAGACTAATTATGGGGTACTGGGTCTCTGGAAACCCCAATGACATGTCTTACAAGATAAGTCTCGGAAGCGGCCATGCCACGGCGGGGTTGATCGGAATGTCGATCCGGATCAATCAGGATACGGCAACGCACAATTTATATCAGCTTTTCGCCTGCAGCGACCTTTCGGAGTCACTTCGCGCCCCTGCCGGAATGCACCAACAGTACCTACTTGCGGGCCTGAAGTCTGTAATATGAAATAAGTACCTAGACCCTCACAAGAGTAGGTAAAACAACCTTAAACTCCTAAACCCTAACCAGGTAGAATCCAATGTTTTGGGGCTCCTAAATATGCTGTTCGTAAAACTCCGTGAACAGATGGGTTTTGGGGTGTAAAAGTATGCCGCAAACTCGAAACACCTGGGCTATTTACAGTAAACTCTTGTCTTATCTGGCAATTTCTCAAGAGGGATCCTAACATAGACACAAAAGAGCAAGATTCTTCGTGCAAGGGCAGCCCAACTAACAGGACCCGTAATTCAACGAAGCGCCCATCTAACTAAATAAAACCGTAGTATAAGTCAACTATAAATGCCTGTGGGACTCCGAACAACCACAAAAGAAAAACACCTAAACACCCTAATCCCTACAGCGTAAACCCGATTATTGGGTTCCTCCCACGCAGAGAGTCTTTGAATAGGACGCGGGGTGACATCAAACCGTATACATCAGTAGAAGGACCTGGTGTAAAAAAAGCATTGATGACGCCATGCAAACTCCGTGTAACGATGTGTGCTTAGGGTCTATGAAACTCTACGGTACAATTCCTTTATAAGTTAAGGGTTAGGGTTTTCAACCTGTGCAGACTCCTCATACGGGTCAGAGTTGACTTCTGATGTCGGATGTATGAGCAGACCACGTGCAGGATTTGGTTGGAGACGGCCCGGCTGGGAGCAAGAAGAATGCTGCCGGGGACTTGGCGAGGGGTAGGGCTTTAAACTGTAGCCGGCCGTGGCTACGGTTTGGGGTTCACGAACTTTGGAGGCCTCTTTGCCATTCCAATGCGCAGGATTGAACAGAGAGCAGCTACCCTAAGGCCCCAAAGTAGTTAGTTTTTGGGGTTTATATATAATATATAGAACCCTATTAGGTATTCTTAAAAATTTGGGGCCTATGGGTAGAGCGGTATAGACGAAACCGGTTTACGTTCTCCTCCAAAGCTCCGAAAAACCTAGGCCTGTTCGAGGTCAGGCGTGTAGGGTTTAGGGTTTAAGGTTCTCCTGAATTCCTTTACCTGCCTCTGCGATCGTGCCGACGGGCCGAGCGCACAATTTACGACTTGTGGATTCTGAGTGCCAGGGAAGACCTAATTCAGGTGGATTTGGGAGTTTCCGAAAATAGGGGACCCTAATATAGTACCCTAAATTAAGGACCCCCAAATAAGGTACCCCTATTTTCGGAAACTCCCATTTACCTTTAGCGCCTTAGGGCAAATCCGGAAACCCAAAAGGCCTTCGTGTAGCAACATATCCAGCATCCTTCGTCGCTGAAGACTAAAAGCTACCTTCCGTGACTGAGGGCTTGGGCAACAGAATCCATGGTAACTTACTTACAATATGTCCTTCAGAAGAAGGTTGGCTAAGGCACCGTAAACAAATCCTTATCCCTGCAGGTCGTTATCGATATGTGTTTCTGCTTATCGTTTTCAGACTTTTTTCATGAAAGCTGCACTGTCGGTTTGCTGACGTATCATTGTCTTCGTATTGTTTTTCCATAGAGGGCCACAAGCACATAGCAGCTGGACTTCCCTAAGAAGGTAAGCAGCAGTAACAGACACACACACACACACACTTTGTTGAAGATTTCTGTACATACTAATAAAGCCGATGATAGCACACACAATACACAACCAGACGCTACACCAGCAGAAGCATCATGACAGGGGCAAGCACCCTAAACCGAAAGGGTATAACAGTGGGAGTGACGGGTTTAGGATATGAGCTCAAGGATTAAGGTTATGATGTCAACAGAGCCAACCCTTGTATTGTCTGAAATGAATTAGTTTTTAGGGTGTTGGATACGATTCGGAAGTACAACTACAAGTTCATGTACGATTTGAATTTGGAGCGCCGGCAGCCTCCAATCATATGTGGAATCGTAGTTTACACGACTAAGTACGATTCCTAGTACGATTTGGCCAGTCCCGGCGCCCCGCCCGCCCCACCCCGAATCGTA